AAAGCAAAGGCGGATCGACCCCGTCCCGCATCGATTGGGCTGAATTTCTCTCTTTGGAAGGTCCCGGAGATGGAATTTGAAACGGGAGATTGAATTTTAAAGGGAAATGCATTCTGACGGCAGTTGTTTAAATGTTTTTTTTCCTCGCTAATGGTGCACGGAGAGGACAGTTCGAGTGCCTGTCCCCATTCCAGTTCCACTAATGGTTCCAAACGGAAACCTAAAACCTGCCGGAGTAATTACCGAAAGGAATGTTTGGGGGTGGGGGAGACGGGAAAACCCGGTTATGAATCTGGGGAAAAAAGAGGCGATTTAGGGAAAAGCCGGTTCCAGCTTCGAGCCAGGGCTTGTCCACCCTCCCTCGGGACGGAGCTGCCACCCTGCCCTCCCGAAACCCCCGAAATGGGATGGGGTCCTCCCGGGGACCCCGATATCGGCACCCCGAAAGCCCCAAACCGCGGTGGGGTCCTCCAGGGTACCCCAATATCTGCACCCCAAAACTCCCGAAATGCTGTGGGGTCCAATATCTGCACCCCGAAACCCCCAAACTGAGATGGGGTCCGATATCTGCACCCCGAAACCCCCAAACTGAGATGGGGTCCGATATCTGCACCCCGAAACCCCCAAACTGAGATGGGGTCCGATATCTGCACCCCGAAACCCCCAAACTGAGATGGGGTCCGATATCTGCACCCCGAAACCCCCAAACTGAGATGGGGTCCGATATCTGCACCCCGAAACCCCCAAACTGAGATGGGGTCCGATATCTGCACCCCGAAACCCCCAAACTGAGATGGGGTCCGATATCTGCACCCCGAAACCCCCAAACTGAGATGGGGTCCGATATCTGCACCCCGAAACCCCCAAACTGAGATGGGGTCCGATATCTGCACCCCGAAACCCCCAAACTGAGATGGGGTCCGATATCTGCACCCCGAAACCCCCAAACTGAGATGGGGTCCGATATCTGCACCCCGAAACCCCCAAACTGAGATGGGGTCCGATATCTGCACCCCGAAACCCCCAAACTGAGATGGGGTCCGATATCTGCACCCCGAAACCCCCAAACTGAGATGGGGTCCGATATCTGCACCCCGAAACCCCCAAACTGAGATGGGGTCCGATATCTGCACCCCGAAACCCCCAAACTGAGATGGGGTCCGATATCTGCACCCCGAAACCCCCAAACTGAGATGGGGTCCGATATCTGCACCCCGAAACCCCCAAACTGAGATGGGGTCCGATATCTGCACCCCGAAACCCCCAAACTGAGATGGGGTCCGATATCTGCACCCCGAAACCCCCAAACTGAGATGGGGTCCGATATCTGCACCCCGAAACCCCCAAACTGAGATGGGGTCCGATATCTGCACCCCGAAACCCCCAAACTGAGATGGGGTCCGATATCTGCACCCCGAAACCCCCAAACTGAGATGGGGTCCGATATCTGCACCCCGAAACCCCCAAACTGAGATGGGGTCCGATATCTGCACCCCGAAACCCCCAAACTGAGATGGGGTCCGATATCTGCACCCCGAAACCCCCAAACTGAGATGGGGTCCGATATCTGCACCCCGAAACCCCCAAACTGAGATGGGGTCCGATATCTGCACCCCGAAACCCCCAAACTGAGATGGGGTCCGATATCTGCACCCCGAAACCCCCAAACTGAGATGGGGTCCGATATCTGCACCCCGAAACCCCCAAACTGAGATGGGGTCCGATATCTGCACCCCGAAACCCCCAAACTGAGATGGGGTCCGATATCTGCACCCCGAAACCCCCAAACTGAGATGGGGTCCGATATCTGCACCCCGAAACCCCCAAACTGAGATGGGGTCCGATATCTGCACCCCGAAACCCCCAAACTGAGATGGGGTCCGATATCTGCACCCCGAAACCCCCAAACTGAGATGGGGTCCGATATCTGCACCCCGAAACCCCCAAACTGAGATGGGGTCCGATATCTGCACCCCGAAACCCCCAAACTGAGATGGGGTCCGATATCTGCACCCCGAAACCCCCAAACTGAGATGGGGTCCGATATCTGCACCCCGAAACCCCCAAACTGAGATGGGGTCCGATATCTGCACCCCGAAACCCCCAAACTGAGATGGGGTCCGATATCTGCACCCCGAAACCCCCAAACTGAGATGGGGTCCGATATCTGCACCCCGAAACCCCCAAACTGAGATGGGGTCCGATATCTGCACCCCGAAACCCCCAAACTGAGATGGGGTCCGATATCTGCACCCCGAAACCCCCAAACTGAGATGGGGTCCGATATCTGCACCCCGAAACCCCCAAACTGAGATGGGGTCCGATATCTGCACCCCGAAACCCCCAAACTGAGATGGGGTCCGATATCTGCACCCCGAAACCCCCAAACTGAGATGGGGTCCGATATCTGCACCCCGAAACCCCCAAACTGAGATGGGGTCCGATATCTGCACCCCGAAACCCCCAAACTGAGATGGGGTCCGATATCTGCACCCCGAAACCCCCAAACTGAGATGGGGTCCGATATCTGCACCCCGAAACCCCCAAACTGAGATGGGGTCCGATATCTGCACCCCGAAACCCCCAAACTGAGATGGGGTCCGATATCTGCACCCCGAAACCCCCAAACTGAGATGGGGTCCGATATCTGCACCCCAAAACCCCCAAACTGTGCTGGGGTCCTCCCGAGGACCCCCATATCTGTGCCCCAATACCCCCAAACTGAGATGGGGTCCCATATCTGCATCCCGAAACCCCCAAACCACGGTGGGGTCCTCCCGGGGACCCCAATATCTGCACCCCAAAACCCCCGAACTGTGGTGGGTCCAATATCTGCGCCCCGAAACCCCCGAATCGCAGTGGGGTCCCCCTGGGGACCCCCATATCTGCTCCCCACCCCCCGAAATGCGGTGGGGTTCAATATCTGCACCCCGAAACCCCCAAACCGCAGTGGGGTCCTCCCGGGGACCCCCATATCTGCTCCCGGGTTTGGGTCCCGGGGAGATTTGAACACAGTCCCCTCCCGCCGAACGGCTTGTTGTATTTTGTGGGGTGGTTTTGTTTGGTTTTGGGTTTTTTTTTTTTTTAATTTATTTTTTTTTATTAAGGCTTAAATCAGTAGGTGGGACGACAGTTTCTTAGAAACAGTGGAAACAGTTCAAGGTGGTATTTTCCAAGAGGGATTAAGAGCACTCAAACAGTTAATTAAACTCCCTTAAAAATAAAAAAAAAAAAAAAAAGGTCGCTGTTTATTAAAATTTGTCACAAGCCGGTGAAAGTAAAAACCGAGAGTGATTTATGTTGAAGCGCTCAGTACTTCAGGAGGGCGTCTAAATGAAATGCTGGCCGGGAGCCAGCGCTGACAAAACCGTCCCGTTAGAGAGGATTGCTTGGCCGGGGAGGCGGTTCTCCCGCATTTCCTAATAAATATTTACTAATAATTATTAGTCAAATATGAAAAAATCGTAGTAAAAATTGAAAATAGTAAATAGCCAGCATAAGGCACCCTAAACCCATCTTTCCATCCATCTTTTCTTCTAAGAGTCATCCATTCTTCTAAGAGTCTCTTCCGCAGGGCAACGTGAGTCTTATGATTTCAGATAAACCCATCTTTCCATCCGTTACGTATTTTGGAGAACGCAGAAATTTGACTTCAAATCAGCGGATTTTAAAGGAGCAGACGCTGAAAGCTTTGGATGTCGGGTTTCGGAGTTTAGCTTCTTCTTGGGTTTGTAGAAAACCCTCTTTATTTTTTTTTTTTAAATTGAAATTACCGGAACCCTCATGCACTTTTCTTCCTCGAAAGGTTCTTCAAAGAGTCTCTTTCGCAGGGCAACGTGAGTCTTATAATTTCAGATAAACCCATCTTTCTATCCGTTACGTATTTTGGAGAACGCAGAAATTTGACTTCAAATCAGCGGATTTTGAAGGAGCAGACGCTGAAAGCTTTGGATGTCGGGTTTCGGAGTTTAGCGACTTCTTGGGTTTGTAGAAAACCCTCTTTATTTTTTTTTTTTAATAGAAAATACCGAAACCCTCACGCACTTTTCTTCCTCAAAAGGTTCTTCTAAGAGTCTCTTTCGCAGGGCAACATGAGTCTTATGATTTCAGATAAACCCATCTGTCCATCCGTTACGTATTTAAGAGAACGCAGAAATTTGACTTCAAATCAGCGGATTTTAAAGGAGCAGACGCTGAAAGCTTTGGATGTCGGGTTTCGGAGTTTAGCGACTTCTTGGGTTTGTAGAAAACCCTCTTTATTTTTTTTTTTTAATAGAAAATACCGAAACCCTCATGCGCTTTTCTTCCTCGAAAGGTTCTTCTAAGAGTCTCTTCCGCAGGGCAACGTGAGTCTTATGATTTCAGATAAACCCATCTTTCCATCCGTTACGTATTTTGGAGAACGCAGAAATTTGACTTCAAATCAGCGGATTTTAAAGGAGCAGACGCTGAAAGCTTTGGATGTCGGGTTTCGGAATTTAGCTTCTTCTTGGGTTTGTAGAAAACCCTCTTTATTTTTTTTTTTTAAATTGAAATTACCGGAACCCTCATGCACTTTTCTTCCTCGAAAGGTTCTTCAAAGAGTCTCTTTCGCAGGGCAACGTGAGTCTTATAATTTCAGATAAACCCATCTTTCTATCCGTTACGTATTTTGGAGAACGCAGAAATTTGACTTCAAATCAGCGGATTTTAAAGGAGCAGACGCTGAAAGCTTTGGATGTCGGGTTTTGGAATTTAGCTTCTTCTTGGGTTTGTAGAAAACCCTCTCTTTATTTTTTTTTAATAGAAAATACCGAAACCCTCATGCACTTTTCTTCCTCGAAAGGTTCTTCAAAGAGTCTCTTTCGCAGTCTTACGAGACTCTTATGAGTCTTATGATTTCAGATAAACCCAGAAATTGTTAAGAAAGATTTTTGTGCCGTAACCCCCCCGCGTTTGATGGAGAAAGACGCTTGATTTTATTTATTTAGTATTATTTTTTTTCTCTCCCTCACCGGTAGGTACGAAGCAATGGCACCTGATAAATCACCTGCAGCCGGAAACCTCGTACGACATTAAAATGCAGTGCTATAACGAAGGCGGCGAAAGCGAGTACAGCAACGTGATGATCTGCGAAACCAAAGGTGAGTGCGGCCGCCGCCGTCGGGACGGTGTGAAGGTGGCGGTTTTGGGGCACGAAATAACCTCTGCGTCGAATTTGGGGTTGTTTTTTTTGGTTTTTGGGGTTTTTTTGCAGCGCCGTGACGACCGTAATTTTTCTGGAATGTTTTGGAGGATTGTTTTGTCTTTCCAAGCTGGGGATTGTTTTGAAGATGTGGAAACGGATACGTTGCGCTCCGGAGAAAGGCTTTTAGCAAAGCTCTGCAGATTTGCCCGGCTTGAGAGATAGGATTGTTGTTCTGGGCTGAGGTTTTGGGGTTTTTTTTTCCTTCTTCCGCTGCGCCGATAGCCTCTCCTTAGGAGACGACCGCCCTCTTGAAGACGACAGAGTTGATTTGTACGTCTGTTTTGTGTCTCGGGGGCTCCGTGACACGTTGTGTAAGTGCGGACCGCGGACCGTGTTGGCTGCCGCCAGCGCTGATCCCGCGTGCCTCTGGCACCAAGTTTGTGCTGTTCGCTGGAAGGGTCAGATCTGGCAGGCACATTTATTTTGCAAAGGATTCCTGTCTCCTCTCATCTCGAAAACCAAGGGAGGCTGTAAAGGGAAAACGCAGGCAGCAAACTTCAAATGCAGTGCTATGAAAAAATGGTGGGTTTTTTTTTTTTTAAAAAAAAAAAGGGAGAAAAGCCCTTTTTTTAAAAAAAGGGGAGAAAAGCCCGTTTTTAAAAAAAAAAAAAGGAGAAAAGCCCTTTTTTAAAAAAAAAAAAGGGAAAAAACCCCTTTTTTTTAAAAAAAAAAAGGAGAAAAGCCGTTTTTTTAAA